GTGTGTGTGTGTTGTGATTCAGTGGTACTCACAGTGTTGAGTGTGAGCTGTAGGTTGAGCGTACCACCAGTGGCTTGTGTGTGCAGGGGGTATGTGAGCATCGTGGGGTGTGTATTTGTCACGCTGACGTTGGGGCCGTTGACGGGATTGAACCGGAGTGACAGAACGTCCACCTCCTCGTAGAGCACAGGGATGCTCCATATACACGCCGACGCCAACAGCGGTGGTGACAGTGACGATTTGTTGCCAAAGGCGACCACGTCTTCACCCACGGAGCTGTTGCCGGCTGATGAGTTGGTATAGCTGCTGTTGCCACGCAGCTTGTTGATGTCATCATCTACTGCGAGGCCAACACTTTTTGGCTTACATCCCACTGAGGCAGACAAATGCAGAATAGAAAAAGATTCCACACACAGGTAGTGGATTAGAACAGAGATACAATGTGTGAAACGTATGTTTAATGTAAGTGGCTGCATGTTGCTGTGTTCACCTGTGTAGTTTGAGACGATACTAAAGCTAACGGTGCGGTTGTCTTGGCTGCTCTCCACAACGACTCGTAACCAGGTGTGCCAAGGTGGGTTAGAAAGAGCTGCAGAGCAACTGATCCCTGAGCAGTTCACTGTTACTGGGCCATGCTGCAGAGAGGCGGAGCCGAGCCTGAGGACCACAGAACAGTTTGCACCGTCTACACCCTCCCCTGTCGAACAGTCCGCCACGGAGACAGAGAGAGATGAGGCGAACTCTGGAACATACAACCTAAGGCAGACACAAATACATTATTTATACTCATATACAGTGAGAAGACACCTATAGGACAGGATGAAGGATGGGACCACAGGAAATAAAACACAGGCTTACTTAAGACGTGCGGGTCTGTCAGGGTCTGCGGTCTGTTGGAGGAATTTGCCCTGCTGTAAAATGGGTGTGTCCACTGCTCTCCTGATTGACAGCTGAGGCTGGAAGAAGTACGAGCAGGACGGAAAGCCCTAATAGATAAAGACAAAAACATTTATTTATATACAATTCTCTTCAAAACAATCACGCAAACCCTGTGTAGCACCTTTCATACACCCAGTTTAAAGTGTTTAACAGGTTACGGACAAACTAATTAGAGTAATAAGTCAAAAGTTCGATAAACAGTTAATCAATGGGGGACTAATGCAGAAATAGAAATATAGAGATATTAGAACTAAATGTGAGGCCAGGCATTAGTAAATGTGGTTACACAACGAGCTGCCATTCTGCAATACCAGAACAACAGCCAAGAAAAAGAAGAAGCAGAGGAATGTGGTTTAGCTACTTTAGATAAGGTCCAATCCAATTCCAGTGGAACCGGTTGGGGTGGAAGCACAGCACGATTAATATACTGCCACTTTATCCTGGCGTATCAATGCTGAACCAATATCTTATCTTAACAAATCTTTCTTCAAAATGGTCTTCATGAAAATTGCAGCAGTTTTAATGAGCACAGTGTCTGTGTGCAGATGTCCAGAGTAGTTTGGTAATAAAGTGACCACCAGAAAGCACGTACAGTAGAGCTCTATACAAACCTTCTGCTCTATGCGCCCATCATCTTCAGGCAAGTGGGCAGCCACGTACCATTCACCGGGAGCAGGGTTGGAGAGGTTAAAGGTTGTGGAGCTGTGGGATGTCACCGGTAGGATCAGAGAGCGACAGGGGCTCCATAGTGTCGCATTGGGAAACGCTGACCCTACTGGGTTTATAACTGGAGGGGCGCCCCATCGAATATGGCTACAAAAGAGAAAGAGACATACGTTAGAAAGAAAAAGCACTAAAACTAGGCAGAGACGCTGGTTGCGTGGAGGACAACGAGACATAAAGAAGAAGAATGATGGGTAGAGGAAACGACAATAAGTAGCAGGGATGTTTTCATGATGCACAACTTAGTCAAACTCACATGCTGACGTTGTGCTGCCCGCAGTTGAAGTTGTGGCCCTTGGTGACAGAGAACAGCCAGCGAGCGACGGCAGTTTCCTCTGGTATGTGAAACCTCTGCAGCCTCACGTTGCCAAACCAACCGTACTTGGACAACTTCTGAGCTGGTTTGGACGAGAGCTCCGATACAAACGTCACCTGTCCATCTGTGGGATATATGACTTCGTTACAGATGAAAGTGCTTGTCCTGAAACTAAACATGCACAACAGTCCTGCCATTTGTTTTCCCCTTTTGTCCTAGCATGAGGCGATAACAGTGAAGGAGACAGTAAGGGAATGACACATTGACGTGTCTAATAAAAAATACAAATAAAAGCTCTCACACTAACTAAAGGCTAAACTTTGTCCAACGTCAAACACAAACAGTCTACTGACTTTCACCAAGTGAAAGAACTATTTAGCAGTAAGGTGCTGTGTGTATGTATATAGCCACCTTCATTCTGATCACTACATCACACAACACTATGTCTTTTTCGGTGTGACTGTGAGTGTGTGAGCGGTGTGAGGCCGCCGTACACAGCGCACACCGTCCACAGGTGAACGAACATGTCGGCACGGTTAGCAACACGCTAACACTGCAGCTCCCTCCGACCTCGTCCCCTTCAGCTCAGAGCGCTTACCGTCTCCTAATGTCCCAGCTGTCAGGGCGACGACAAGGAGACCGCGTAGAAAACAAAACGCCATGTTTCCTTTCTGAGTGTGTGAAGCATTACACCGCCCTTTATCCAGCCGTAATGTCACACACGGCCGTCTATCGCCGAGGGGAACTTCATTCTACCTGCACAGCACTTCCTGATGTCTTTGTAAATACGTGACGTCATGAAAGTCGTCGGGTGCTGCCTTTGCGGTCTGTCGGAAATATCACACGCGGGCGACCTATTAGTAACGAGCACGGCGTTTTATTCATAAGTTGTGTCATTTAAAAACATAATAATAACAATATCATTAAAGCATCATAAACAGCAACTGTCTTTGTGTGTGTTAATTATAATGTTAATAGTACACGCTTGTCGCTGATGACACGCTGTCATGATTAGGGCTTAATCATCATCGTCACTTAATCATGACCTAAATTTAAGGGCATTTTAAATGTAAAACATGTAAACATTCATTCAGCACATTCGTACCTCTCTGTTGGTTTGAAAGACAGAATAAGCCATCTTTTTCAGTGTTGTTTATTACTAACAGGTATTTAGGCTCATCATTGCATAACAATTTAAGCAGAAGAATGGCAGCATCTTTAAAACCCTCACAGGTTCACTATTGCATTATATCTACAATTGTGAAAGACTTCAAAGACAGACAATATACAAGAAATAAGCACAAGAAATTATTGACTGCCATTCTTGTCTTATAAACAAAATAAGACAGTCAAATGAAATTGAGTGCAATCAAATGAAAAAAAGAAAGAAAGCCCACTGATTAAAAAAAAATCCCCATTGTGTAAAACATTTATCAGACAAGGACATAATATTTCTACATATCTTTTCATATTTGTGATATCTTGCATTTTTAATAAAAAGAAAAATAATCTTTTTGGATTCCTAAAATACACAGGTAAATGAAAAGAAGTGAACACCCAAGTGTCCATCTTAAACAAAAGCACAGACAAAGTCTGAGACTCAGAGTCAGTTACACCTTCATCTTCAAGCATCATTCATCAATCATCCATCAGTGTCAAAGTGCATTTTAAATCACTGCATTACTGGCAGGTAGCTGTTGAACTAAAACTAAAGATCATGAATCTAAATTGTGCTCATAGAACATCATAGAAACGTCACATCGTCCTGTGACTCCACCCAGCTCCACTGAGCATCATAGCCCAGCAAAAATGTCTCTCTATTGGGAGCGTGCTCTTCCTTTTCCATCATATTGGTCTGAGAGGCTCCGAAACCCTTCTCAGTTTGGTTCTCTGTTTGTGTCTCCTCTGACTGATTAGTGAGAGCAAAACTACCAGCATCCACTTCTCTTCTTGCCCTACTTGATCTGAGGAGGGCTCTTCTAATGGTGTCAGCACCGGCTTTGAGTTTGTGTTTTAATGGAGCTACATCTGAGTCCCGTGGTTGTGTCTTTGGTAAATTGACACTAACCAAACTGCTGGCTGATTCCTGACCGTGCCTGCCATATGGGGAACGAGGGACTTCAAAGTTGAAGGTGGAAGAACAAGAAGGTCTCGCTTCGGTAGACTCAGGGCTCCGCGTGTCAAAGTAGCTCTTGTGGTTTGAATCACCGGGATCAGTGGAGTGTGGTTGGTATGGGTGATCTGCCGGTTCCTCACCAGTGGTTTCAGTCAAATCCTGAGTTGGACTCAGGTTCTCTCTGGGGGAGTAGAAACAGTCAGAGCCACATATAAAGCTTGAGCCCTGAAACTAAAAATCTACATCCAGCATGATAAGAAGTTCTCAGTTCAAGTTCAAGGGTTTTCAAGGGTGCTGCAATTTCCCAGCTTGGGATCAATAAAGTATATCTATCTATCTTTACATGACTGCTGGTGTATTCTCACAGCCGTTTGTATGAAAAGTCATGTATTCTTCAGAAAACGCTGATGAATAGTCAAACATGGTAACTCTATGTGAAATAACACTTTTTGGTTGAATTTAGAATTATTTTTATGTCTTATCTGGATATATGTTGTCGTATTGCATACAGTACCATTTGCAATGCCTGGTAAAAATGAAGACTCAACTCCACTACAACAATATTTTGCTTAAGGTAAAAGTAAGACTGGTATTACTTTGTTGAATGCAATTTTTAGTTTGTATAAAAATGAAAACAGGTTCCTGTACGTCTGTCAAACTAAACACTATGCTGTACCTGCGGGGGGACATGGAGGGCCCGTGCTCCTCCACGGTCACCAGGCTGCTCAGGCTGCCTGTTAAGCTGCTGCCACGGCTAACTAGGGTATTCTGCTCCTCCATCAGCCAACGCATGGCCTCGATCCCCTCGTGCACAGCCACCAGCTGGCGAAGAATCCGCACATCTGCGGAACGCAGCCACCTCTGCGTGAAAAGTGAAAAAGTTAGCATGAAGCAGGCATAAACGAGAGAGCTGGTGTGTGTGCACTGCAGGTATATGTAGAGGGGGGAGAGCTGAGAGAGGTGTGTGTGTGTTCACTGTAGCACTGGGGCCCCCAAGACACAACTCTATCTGCCCCCCCATTAGTGACGTCCCTGCTTGTGTGCTCATTTCCAGAATACATGAAGCAGAAGAAATGAGCTAAAGAACAGAGAGGAATGAGGGAGGAGTGAGGTGGCAGAGAATGAGCAGAAGAATCCAGTCAGAATGTGTCAAAGGAGTGGAGGTGAATGAGAGAGAGGCCAGGTGAGGGGTGTGGAGGAGAGACAGGTGACAGGTGAGTGTCATTACACATAAAGCTGAGCAGGAGTATTGGCGCAGAATGGAACTCGGTGGTTTTGACATTTTGAGAAAAACATGTCATCAGAATAAACAGCAGTGATGGCTGGAACAGGTTGTGCAAGTTGTGTCATTTCAAATATGGAAACTTGCGCAGCTACATGCAGGCGCACCACACGCACACCACCACAAACTCACGCTGAGTCATTACAAAACAGAGAGGAAACTGTAACATACATAAACACACAGTGTCTGTAATATGATATTTCAGTTGCTGGGAATACACGGAGACTCTTTCTTTACCATCTCTTGCTTTAAGTTGCTGATTTTGTCGGAGAAGCTTTCGCTGAGCGCAGAGCTGCGGTCTCCCCTGTCCACCACATCAGACCTCCAACCATCTTCGCAGTCCGCAGCATCCCTCATCCAAATCAGAAGACTTTCTGGTGTTTTCCTGCCAACTTTGTTTTCCAGTTCTCTTAGATCTGGGAAGGGGTCGTTGAGGGTTTCCTCTGTCATCCCGCCGCACTGTAATTACCTCCAAGTATTCCGGTCGGTGGCTTTAGGCTGGAGAAGAGCTTGTGCGTAAAAGTCACTTCACCTTTCCAGCTTCTACTGCGAGATGTTAGACCCACCGCAGCTGGGATAATCACACACCCACAAAACTCCCACACTTTTCAACTGGCAACAAAGTCCACACGTTATATTCCTGAACACTCCACAATAAACCATGATCTCGACTGACAAACCTGCCACAGAAGCGCACAACAAGCCATGAAAACGCTGGAAGTGTGAGCGCGCCACTCATCTGTCCTGCTGACTGCAGCCTGTCACCATTCACTCACAGAGGTATTGCTGGTATGTGGCCCAGAACGTGATGCTGGAAAGTGGAAGTGCTCTTTGTGTATCCTCAAACAATGGTGGGAGTTTCATACCAGCAGTCACATGGAGAGGCTTCAGAGACACCTGTGATCTTTATTACTTTGATTAGAGTTTAATTTCATTGTTTTGAAAAACAGCTATGTTTTAACACAGATTATTTGTTAATTTAGGCTATTTATGACCTATATTTTATCATGTATCAAAGATTTTACATCAGAATGGATCTGATATAAAATGTAAATTAGGCTGTAGGGATATGGGATCAACTCCTGGGATCAAATCCTACTGCCACTGCAATCATAAGATGAGATAAGATAGGATGCAGACATGTCAAATCCATGATCACATAATGTAATAATGTTGTAATTGTAGTGGACATAACATGACTAACTTTAAAAAAAAACAAACAAACCTCTAATTCTTATACCCTGTTGTAGCATCTTATTACCAGAATACTCCCAAAAAACAAATGAACACATAAACACAAAAATAAGTGACTGAATGAAAAATTCGACATATGAACACATATGCATATTAAATGTGCAAATTATATAGGCTATCTAGCTACAATATATAATTTCATAAGCATAATTCAATTCATACACACATCTTGTGTTTTATAGAAATAGTTAAAGAGCAAGCGAAATGTCTAAATAAAAAAAGACTGCTGACAACCTGGGTTGGTTTCAAGATTCCACTGTATGTATTGAATGAAATGTCTGGAAGATTTATGTTTTAAAATGTTAAACATTAACAGGTAGATAGGCAGCCTACTTGTTCAAATAAATGTAGTTCTTTATAAAAAGAAAGAAATAAGAACAGTGATATTGAGTGGACAGACTATATTTTGGATGTATAGATTCAAGTGCTGGCTACGGTTTATGGTTCAATATTCAATATGCAGTATACAATATGAGTGTTAGTAAACTAATTGTATATGCACAGATTACATGGAGCACTTTGCAGTAAGGAAGTTCTTAATACTTTCCAAAGAGACTCTGCAGAAAAAACAGGTCTGTGCAGTTGCACAGCCCACTTTTAGACACAGAGATGAGCCAAATAAGCAGTGACGAAGCTAACATCTGCCACACACTCAAATAGATGATTTATTTTTATTCATCTGTCATCTTGCCCCATATTGGTGCCTTTCAAAACCAGGGTAACAGTTATGGGAGCTTCCTGCCTCCTCATGTTTGAGGTTATGGCCTGCTAAGTGCGTTGTTTTAAGTGTGTGACACACATTGATGAAGCAGCAGCAGCCAGAAAAAAGATAAAGAATGCATGACGGAAAATACATTTAAGATGCCTCCCCAGCTTATAGAAAACTAAGCTGATAACTCAGAAAAAAAAGTTATTTTGTTTATAATTTATTACTTTTATGTGCAAAGAAAAAGTCAGACAATGGGAGGCAGCTTTGTGACTGTGGGAGAAAACTCTCAGGAGGGTTTTACCACTGGCTGCTGTTAGAGGGAGACAAACACTGCTGCATCCAATACAGACCTGTGAAGAAACTGTCAGCAGCCAAGAAGCTCCAACATTGCCAACTGTTTAATAAGGGAATATTTTTAATTTTAATAAAATACATAATTATATAAAAATACATAATGTAAATATACATAACTATGCAATGAACATACCATTAACATGAGTAAATGTATGCCTCACACAAACATACACACACATACAATTATGGCTGGGGAATAGACTGTTCAAAACCCTTAAACAGGTTAAAAGAGCTGGGTGAAAAACTACTGTTGGGAAAATGTTCAAGAAAACACAAACTATCTATGTAAATGTAAATTTGCCAACATATGAAAACGTATCAACAAATAATACACATAGCAACACAAATACAAAGTACATACATGGGTAGAACCATGTTTTAAAGAATGAATCATGATCTCACCTGGGCGATTTAAAGGGTGACATTTTATTAGCCTATAGCCTTACCTCCCTCAGTGGGTTGCTGCACAGTTTAGAGGCTCATAAAGTTCAGTCACCTTTACTCTTAAATCTCAACAGTGCAACACAATCCCCTGGTTGGGTTGACTGGAGCTGCTCTGTGGAAGCCAGTATAATGCTGTAGTTATGGTGGGCAGTTTCCAGGTAGGATTGTGTTGAAATATGTATGTATGTGTATGCTCTTGTAGATTAGTTCCCACATGCAAACTGCATCTCTGAACATTGCCACATTTACAGGAATCATAAACATTTCAACAAAACAATCTCACCACAAAGTCCATTCAGTAGCTGCTCTCGAGCTTTTGATTGCATCATTTCCTCAGAAAATGTAGAAAATGCAGTTTGCCCATTGGTCATACCAGTGCATTACTGTGCACTTCAAGTACATTTGGGCTTAAAAAATTAACATGTGGGGGTCAGGTATGAGCCTGTCACTTCATACAAATTTCATTTTGGATAAAAAAATTAAATAAAATTGCAATTACAGCATCAGTAATAATGACAAATAACTGCTGTTTGTCATATTCTAAACTGAAATATCAACAGTCTGTTAGAAGCTGTTGTCTTTTCAGGGTTTATATAAAACCAGAAATGCTTCTGTACCACTAAAACAAGTTATCAAGGGCATACAGACAAATTCAGTAACAAAGCCAAAAACCTTTGAAGAAATTAGATACATTTGATTTGAGATAATAATGAATGTTGGAACACACAGATAGATCTGATCCAGCTAGTTGCTGTATTGCTACAGCGGCTGATGATGCTCTTGATTTAAAAGCTTTAAATTGATTTCCATTCCCCTCTAATGGAAGTAACATGAAGCATTAATATTCCCTCCACATTAGTTGTCTGTTGCAACATGAATGTCTTTTTGAGGGAGGGGACATCTGCTTAGCCGGCCACGCTCTCTGACTTTTGGTCATTACATGCAGCTTCTTTTGACGTGATCTGGTAATTGATGTGTTTTGGAGAATCAGCCAACTAGATTCAAAGAGCTTGTTTCGGTCTGTAGATGGCAGCAGACATTCAACATTTTTAAGCGCCTGGGTATTTTATGACATTCTCAGAGGTTGAACAATCTAGCTCGATTTTTGCACCTCTGGGAACACATTCATTAGGTCTGTTTTGTTAAGACTACGGATCAAGTGTCACAGATGAGGCACACAGCAACCCTGAAAACTGAGCCTAAGACAACACTCTGAGGTCATCTCATCTACGTAGGAATCATAAAAAATATGTTTTCTGTAATTTTATAGGAGCGTCTCGGCCATTAATTGTCCACATTTCTTGACAAATACACTCGCCTGCTGCGAACACGTTCCATGATTTCATCAGAGAGAAGCATAATACTGAAAGCAAATTTATCATACTTGACACAACATTCTTGTAATTTCTTGGATTGAAAAACAAGTTGGAATGACCAGTGGATGAAAAATCAGGTTACTGCAACCCCGAGGGGGGGGGGGCTGTAAAATATTACCCACGTATAAGCAAGTGTTTTTTAGGGCAGCTCAGAGTGACCCCTGAGGTCAGCATTACAGGAAGTGGAGGGTAAGCATAAAAATGTTTCACACAGAAAGAATTATGTTTTTTACGAGTCAGGGCCTCTGACTTCCAGTTTTAGGGAAATCATAAACTTACACAAACATTAAAAAATGGTCAGAGTGTGGATGTCATAGAAAGGCCAGCATTATGAGCAGATAAGATTTTACGGCATCTGTCAGTGCAATTAAGTGTGATTTACCATGAATCATAAAGAGGATGTGGGGTTTATTAGGGGAGTTGCCCTACATTTTTTGCCAAACCACCTGAAACGTGAAGAGCCAAGTAGTGAACCACTTTCACTGATGTGGACTGAATTCATCCTGAAGTCTCTTACACACAGAGAACATGTGAATGGGAAAAGAGGACTAGATATTTTAACATCCTCGCGGTGTAGCCCAATTCCCCAGTGAATAAACCTGAAGTGTGTGCATGTGTGTTTGTTTGCATTGAGTCAAGGGTCAGAAAAACAGCATAACAACTGAGGCCACTAGACCAGGAAAGCCCTCAGATTCACATGGTCTGTGGAAGGCCCTCACATTCAAACAAAGCTAAGTAGGGAAGGTGGGGACCCCTGGACTTGGACAGCAAGAAATTAGGTCAGTAGGAAGAAAAAGAAAAAGTGTGGAAGTTGAAATCTTTATATTTTCCAGCCAAAGTCTTGTCAGAACTGTCAGAGATGATGTCGGAGATGACTTTAAATTTAACATTTTGGAAAATATGCTTACAGGTTAAACTTTAATTAATAGCCCAGGCTTTGTTTTGCTTCAATCTCTGAACTCACCCTGCCTTTATTTGGAACAGGCATCTATATCAGACAGGCCTTTAAGTCCTTTTGCACAGGAAATACTATAGTTTATACATGGCGGGTCCACAGAATTTTCTGTAGAAAAACGACTTATTCTAAGGTAATAAAAACACAATAATCCTTATTTTCAGGTGATTATACACTAATGAAAACACACTGGACCTGTCACTTCACCAACCTCAGATATGTTCTGGTTAAGTCTGTAACATTATGTTCACTGGAACACATATTTTTGTGTAATGATCATATAGATTACATCCAACATAAAACTGTTAGAAGTATGATAAGTAAATGTAAGATCAGATATTAACATACAGGCACCCTG